CTGGGTGATAATCTCAGTCCTGTCACTGACTTGCTATACCACTGACATACAGTTTCTGGTCTTGGGCCAGTCACCTCTTTATATACCAAGTTCCCTATATGTAAAATACGCATTGTAAGACTTATGAATTTACAGAGGAGTCTTGTGAGGATTAATGTAGTGCTCTGCAAATGTAAAAAGCTAATTATTAATATTAAGTAGGGCTGTTGATTAATCACAGTTAACTCATGCGATTAACTCAAAAAATTAATTGCGATTAATCGCAGTTTTAATCACACTGTTAAACAAGAGACTACCAATTTAAATGCATTAAATATTTTGGATGTTGTTCTACATTTTCATATATATCTTGTATTCTGTGTTGTAACTGAAATTAAAGTGTATATTTTGATGGCATATATTTGCACTGTAAAAATGATAAACAGAAGAAATAGTATTTTTCAGTTCACCTCCTACAAGTATTGTAGTGCAATCTCTTTGTCCTGAAAGTGCAATTTACAAATGTAGATTTTTTTTTGTTACATAACTTCACTCAAAAACAAAACAATATAAAACTTCAGAGGCTACAAGTCCACTCAGTCCCACTTCCCGTTCAGCCAATGGCTAAGAGAAACAAGAGATAATGCTGCCCAGTTCTTATTTACAATGTCACCAGAAAGTGGGAACAGGCATTTGCATGGCACTTTTCTAGCCGGCGCTGCAAGGTATTTATGTGCCAGATATGCTAAACATTCATATGCCCCTTCATGCTTTGGCCACCATTCTAGAGGACAAACCGGTAAAAACAAATAATGCGTTAATTAACTTTGTGACTGAACTCCTTGGGAGAGAACTGTACGTCCCCTGCTCTGATCTACCCGCATTCTGCCATATGTTTCATGTTACGGTAGTCCTGGGTGATGACCCAGCACATGTTGTTGTTCATTTTAAGAACACTTTCATTGCAGATTTGACAACACACAAAGAAGGTACCAATATGAGATTTGTAAAGATAGCTACAGCACTCGACCCAAGATTAAAGAATCTGAAGTGCCTTCCAAAATCTGAGAGGGATGAGGTAGTGAGTATGCTTTTAGAAGTCTTAAAAGAGAAACACTCTGATGCAGAAACTACAGAACCCAAACCACCAAAAAAGAAAATTAACGTTCTGCTGGTGGCATCTGACGCAGATAATGAAAATGAACATGTGTCAGTCCACACTGCTTTGGATGGTTTTCAAACAGAACCCATCATCAACAGGGACGCATGTTCCCTGGAATGGTAGTTAAAGCATGTGCATCTGGCACGTAAAGATCTTGCGACGCTGGCTACAACAGTGCCATGAGAACGCCTGTTCTCACTTTCAGGTGACTTTGTAAACAAGAAGAGGGCAGCATTATCTCCTGCAAATGTAAACAAACATGTTTGTCTGAGCAATTGGCTGAACAAGTAGTAGGACTGAGTGGACTCGCAAGCTCTAAAATTTTACATTGTTTTATTTTTGAATGCAGTATTTTTGTACATAATTCTATATTTGTAAGTTCAATTTTCATGATAAAGAGATTACATTATAGTTCTTGTATTTGGTGAATTGAAAAATACTATTTATTTTGTCTTTTTACAGTGCAAACTCTTATAATCAAAAATAAATATAAAGTGGGCACTGTACACTTTGTATTCTGTGTTGTAATTGAAATCAATATATTTGAAAATGTAGAAAACATCCAAAAATATTTAAATAAATGGTATTCTATTATTGTTTAATTGCACGATTAATCATGATTTATTTTTTTAATCCCTTGACAGCCCTAATATTAAGTAAACTGCACTGTAAGATCTCTTGTACTTTTTATTTTCTTGTCTGATATGTTGATATGTAGCAATGCAAATATTTAGATACAAATCCTTTTCTTCCTATGTGAGTACCCCCACTGAACTACTTTACTCACAAGAGGAAAGGTTTGCAGGATTGGGGCCTATAGCTTTACCCAATTAAGGCCTTCATCCTGCATCTGACAGCACTCAATAGAACCACTGTGCCCATGTGAAACCCCATTAAAGTCAGAGCAGCCCCATGTGAGCCGGTCAGTTGACCTGCATACTATCAGTTGTAGATTTGGGATCTCACTGTGGACTGCCTTCAGTTACACTATGGATCACCTTAAGGATTTGTTTCTATTAAACAGGGTGTTAAAATGTGTTTAACAATGTACCAGGTCTACTAACCTTAGCACCCCTCACCCTCCCCATATTTGAGGAGTTTTAAATAGTATATTGCTGGAAGAACTGCTTTTTTTGAAAAGCTTCACTGTTTGCCATCCCCTTAGAGAAACTTGGTGGGAAAAACTTTTAGCATCAATTAGTTGAGAAAAATGCTCATTTATTAACTTCCTTGTGTGTCAATGAAGTCAGCAGAGCCCTTGGAAAAAGTGCTCCTTGCCTAAATGCCACTGGACAGCCAATGAGAGGAGCTCAACTGCTTTGTTTTTGTAGATCCCACAAAATAGTGGCTCTTTCAAAAATACACTTTTGCTCTGGCTTACGGAGTATTTTCTTTTTATGATTTAGACTCCAGATGGTCCCTCCTATCAAACTAAAATCATTCTAATGGTAGGTTAAATTCAGAGCTTAAGCTATTTAATAACATTCCTCTGTATTCAATGTATGAGCTAAAAACCACATTCACATTAAGATGCCTTGCAATTAGGTTTCTGCAGAGCTTTGGGTTTTGAAAGGCATTAAGAGAGACTATGGATTATTCTTTTTTTATTAAATGGCATTTCACAAAAGGAATCAGAAAAATATTTAAGCGTGTTAAAGGTCAGATCCTGCAAACTTTACTCATGCAAGCAGTCCCGCTGCCTTCAGTTCAACCTCTCATTTAAGAGCTGTGTCTGTATTTGTTCCTTTACAAAGTATCTTACATTCATATATTATTGTGATGAAACACTTGGGTCCATGATGGGTATTGAAAAGAAAGAATAATTCCTTGGGCTCATCCTGCAAGGTGCTGAGTACATTTTACTGTCACTGATTCCAATGGGAGCTGAAGTCAGCTGGCACTAGCAGGAGATGCTCAGCATGCCGCAGAATTGGGCTCTTGTTAAATAAGCATTGTATCTGGATTAATGACTTTTTTTAGTAAAACATGGAGCTTTTGCTATAATGATAAATTGTCTAACAAAGTAGTACAGGTGTTTAAAAACTGTTTAAAAATCATGAACATAGTAAAACCTTTGTTTCTAACATTTCAGCTCAGTTTTACACCCAATGTAAATAAATCTGGTAACAAACTACTTCCCTTTATTGAAGGTTTTGAATATTTATTTCAATACTATTGAAACCCAAATAGTTAGTAGCTACTGCTGAAGGTGTAATCTAGCACACACAGAGATTATTGGGCAGAGCCTCAGCTAACGTAAAAAACTGTCTTAGTTCCATTGAAGTAAGGAGCCATGACAATTTACACCAGCTGAAGATTTGCCTACATGTTGTTTAAGACAACAAGCAACCCTTATTTTGTTTTGAGTCTAAATTAATTAAACATGATACTCTATATATCAGATAAACTCAACTGAAACATGGCTGCTAGGAAAACATCTTTTCTGCCAAAACTACATCTTTGTCTCTTTTTCTGCATTTGAAATAATACTGAGCCAGTACACAACAAAATCTACTCCTTTTACAAATTTAATCAACTAAAGCATTCAGCAACACTGCTAATATATTACTCTGCTTACAAACAAATCTCTCAGGGACAGATTAAAAAGAAATGTTACAGAGCTCTATCATTCAAAGTCTTACAGTTCAGCCATCTATAAATCACTGTGTTTGTTTATTTAGATAATTGGGTCCATTAGTGCAAGTAACTTTCATGCTCCACAAATATCTGGTTAAGTCTATTTTTCAGTATGTGGATTTAAAAAAAATATTAGAAAAAATGTTCCAAGCACGCAGTAAATTATCTGTTATGTATAATTTGTGCATGTAATGCTCTCTGCACTGCTTTGAAAAAAATCCAGCTCTCCCTTGGTGATCTCTTCCGTTCAAAGAGTTTCCAATGCGAAGAACGGATGCCACTGTGAAACCAACTGGAGTCTGTCACAATGTAACTGTATCTGAATTAAACGATAGTTAAGGATTTGACTTGGAGCAACAACAGAACGGAAAATCAAAGCTGAAAGAATCAGCCTGCTGTGTGTATCGCCCTATGGTGCAAGCCAAGACATACACATTGATTGAAGACTTTGGTCCTGATTCTTCACCGCTTTGGACCTTGCTGTCATCTGTACCTGCAAGGCATTGTAAAATGCTGCCAAAGCATGACCGTGTTTTACACCTGTCTAAGGGAGAGTGCTCTACTCATAATAATTCTGGGCAGGGACTGAGTGACAACGATCCTTCTGGATTCCTTTGCTTTGTGGGCTTATGTCACAACCTCAGTCATTTGAATACATACTGATCATACAGCACAGCGCCACAGGATACATTTCTTGGCCAGAGGCGCATCCGATACTTCGTGGCTCCGTAATCATTGCGCGGCTACTGCTTGAGCTAATCCAACCACCTTGCTACACCCAACCCCGAGCAGTGCACGGCGCCGGAATCGCACACACGCAAACCTGCCCCTCTGCCCCCCACGAGCGTTCGCTTTGCCTTCACTAGAGAGTCCCCCGTCCCGCCAGGGAAAGAGCAGCGCTTCAGCCAAACATCCCCACCCGCAAATCAGACACAAGCCCGGTATGGGACGATCCCTTAACAGCACCTGCCTATGGGACCCTGCCGGAACTGGGAGCGGGAGCACCGCACCTGCCTGGCAACAGCATCTCTGTGGGGAGTGACGGCCCCGTGGGGACTCGCACTGCCCCTCCGCCGCCCATGGGCCACACATGCCCGCTCTGCCCCACCCACTCTAGCCCAGAGGAGCAACCTGGAGCCCCCGGAGGGGGGGGACAGGGCTGGACCAGGCGCTAACGCATCAGCCCCCCCGCCATCAACTTTGGAAACCGCAACCAACTTACTAGGATCTCCAGGACTTCAAGGGGTGTCCCCAGCCCCCTCCGGGGCCCCGCACCGCCGCTGGGGGCTGCCGCCTTGCTAGCCGCGGCGGGACCCGCACTTCCAAAGGCAGCGCCAGCCCCTGCTGGCCCCGCGCGCCGGAGCAGCGCCGAGCCGCGCGCGGGCTCCCCGGGACTCAGACTAACAATAACACTCGGAGGGGGGCGGCGCGGCTCCGCCGGCGGCAGGAGAGTCGCGGAGCAGCCCGCGACAGCCCCCCACGCAGGGGCGAAAATGACAGCAGCGGGCGGCGGCGGCAGAAGGAGGAGCAGCAGCCGCCGGTCCGGGCAGCGCAGAATGAGCTCCAGCAATGCGCATGTTCCCAAAGCCCGGCGTGCAAACGCAAGAGATGCAGCGCCGCTGGGGCTGCTTGCGGCGGGGCAGAGCCAAGCTGGAGATGTGCGGCGGGGACTGTGCGCTAGCTGGGTACAGAGAGAACGAGACAAGGCGCTGAGCACATGCACGCACTTCCAGTCTCTGTCTCTTCATGCCTGCACCTCCTGCCTCTCAGAGACAAGGAATTCCAGGCAGTGAGTGAGGGACTGCTGCATGCACCTCTCGCTCACTGCAAACATCAGACGCTCTAAGAACAGGAGTACTTGTGGCACCTTAGGCTAGGTCTACACTACCCGCCTGAATCGGCGGGTAGAAATTGACCTCTCGGGGATCGATTTATCGCGTCCCAACGGGACGCGACAATCGATCCCCAATCGACGCTCTTACTCCACCAGCGGAGGTGGGAGTAAGCGCCGTCGACAGGAAGCCGCAGAGGTCGATTTTGCCACCGTCCTCACAGCGGGGTAAATCGGCTGCGATACGTCGAATTCAGCTACGCTATTCACGTAGCTGAATTTGCGTATCTTAAATCGACTCCCCCCTAGATGTAGCCTTAGAGACTAACAAATTTATTAGAGCATAAGCTTTCGTGGACTACAGCCCACTTCTTCGGATGCATACAGAGACTCTGTATGCATCCGAAGAAGTGGGCTGTAGT